GCAATTCCAATCCTTTCTGTAATTCAGTCACAGATATTGTAATCTAAATATACTACCACTTTATTGAGTCTCTGTCTTCCCAGCACATTCATATTTTGTCAATATTCTAACTTCTTCACTCACATAGTTATACTGACCTTTTTAGTTAAGTGTTTTAATCACTTGAGAGGTCTCTCAAAAAGTCAAATCCTGCGGGGTGGCAACAGCGCACACCTTTAATCTCACCACTCAAGAGGCAGAGGCAGGCGGATCTCTGTGAGTTCAAGACCAATCTGGTCTACAGAGTTCTAAGACAGACTCCAAAGCTACACAGAGAAACCCAGTATCAAGAAACAAACAAGCAAGCACATAAACAAACAAACAAACAAACAAAACATAAAAAAGTATCACCAACAAAGCTGAACAGCTTAGTAGACCTTAACTAGACTGTCAACTATGAATCCTAGCTCTGTCCCTTGTTAGCTAGATAACTAACCCAGGACAAATTACTTAAGGCATTATGCTTATTTCCAAATCTATAAAGGGAATCATAGAATCCACCTTTGCTGGGCAATCATGGTGCACACCTTCAAGGCGTAGGAGAGTGGGGGAGGGTGCAGACAGGTCTCTTTAGTTTGAGGCCAACCTGATCTACAGAGCGACAACACAGAGAAATCCTATCTTTCTCTCTCTCTCTCTCTCTCTCTCTCTCTCTCTTTCTTTCTTTTTTTCCGAGACAGGTTTTCTCTGTTTAAAAGGCCTGGCTGTCCTGGAACTTGCTTTGTAGACCAGGTTGTCCTCAAACTCAGAGATTCACCTTCCTCTGCCTCCCGAACGCTGGGATTAAACGCATGTGCTACCACTGCCCGGCTGGAGAAATCCTGTCTTAAAAAACAAAAAAACAAACAAAAATTCACCTTAAAAGTTGTTGAAAAACAAATTAGCAAATGGTTTTGCATCACTTAAAGACAGAGATACATTCTTAAAACTGAATTATACTGCAAATGCACCCTTATAACATCATAGAGCATACTTATACACATAGCATATTTGTCCTCAATGTCATTATGACACATCACTGTAATCATTAACTGTATTGTATGGGAATAATAACAAAGATGTCTGTACATGGTCAACACAGACACATTCTGTTTTCAAGTGTTAGTGGATCATGGCTGGTTGAATTAGGAACTTAAAGGACCAATTGCACATTCAACTAATGTGTGCTATTATCTAGTAACAATGAGCTATTTTCCCTATCACAGTGTGATACTTCTTTTATCTATGTATCTATAACTCTTTAAGGACAAGAAAAAAATAGAATCAGTATTTTCATTTTTTTTTACAGTTATTTATTTATTGTGTGTGTACAGCAAGTAGTATGTAGCATGTGCATGTAGGAGCCCTTGCAGATCTTAAGAGGGCATCAGACCACCTGGAACTAGAGTTACAAGCAATTGTGAGTCATCATGGGGGTGAGGGTCGACTAGGAATTGAACCTTCATGTAAGTCTTAAAACTCACTTTAAAATATAGTATCTTACTTAAAACCCAAGTATAGTAAATGTAATCCAATACATGATGGAGGGAGAAGCAGGATCAATAGAAACTTGAGGCCAGCCTTATTTACATAGCAAACCCTATTTTTTTTTTTTAAGACAAATGCTTAAAAAAAAGTGTGTGTGTGTTAATTTTTAAAAGTTACATTATAAGGGCCTGGAGAGATGGCTCAGTTGGTAAAGTGTTTGCCCTGCAATCATGAGGACCTCAGTTTGATCTTCTGTAGTCTGGTAAAAGCTGAGTGAACATGGTGGATCATGCCAGTAATCCCAGCAACCAGAGGTGGAAGATCGGTTCAAGGTCATCCTCAGACTACGAGGTCTCTGTGAGACCCTATCTTCAAAAACAAAACAAAACAAAGGCACCAATGTGAAAGCTGGACAATTGGTTTAGCCAAAATACCTTTTCTAAAAAATACAGTGAGAGCAGTAAAAGAAGACATAACATCTGGCCTCCATACTTACACTCCAGGTGAGCACAACAGCACAAATATGGGCATGGGCACACACAAAATAGACAAAGTGAAGTGATCAAGGCCTCCACATGCAAACATATACATATACACAAGCACAAATGTACACATATACAAAAATATAACATTATTTTACACGACACCGTGCAATAGCTCATTAACTAAGAAGAAATATGCTAATAAGGGTGGCATGACACAGGAAAAATTACCTTACATTAAAAAACAAACAAACAAGCAAACAAAAAAACTTACCAGGACAAAAGTCTCATAGAATCTCCAGATATCCTTATTTCAAGACTTCTCTACTTTGTTAAAAATGTGAGATGTTTTGTTTGCTGAAAAGGCTTTTCCTTTTAAACATTAGACTTTAAGATCCTTTAGGTATCTATCAAATAGTTCAACAATTCTATAACTTGAAAAGTTAACTGCTGAGCCATCTCTCTAGCCTCTGGAATTAAGACCACTTGTTCTTGAAGGAGACCCAAGATTAGTAATCCTGCACTCACACAATGGCTCACAAAAGTCTGTATTTCAATTCCAAGAGATCCAGTGCCCTTTTCTGGCCTCTGTGGCATTTTGCATACACGTGGTAACATACATACATACATGGAGGTAGACATACACATAAAACAAATCTTTAAATCTATTTTAACTATATGTATTTGTATTTATAAATAAATATTTGATTGGGTGTGGTGGCACACTCCTTTAATCCCAGCACTTGGGAGGCAGAGACAGGTAGATCCCTGGAGGCCAGCCTGGTCTATAGAGTTGTACAGGATAGCCAGGACTACACAGAGAAATCCTGTCAGGAAACAAACAAAACAAAAAACAAACAAAAAAGATTTTATTTATATATTACACAAATATTTATTTATATAGGTATCTAGACACATATAAGAGAGACAATTTTTTTTCTCTGTATAGCCCTGGCCATCCTGGAACTCACTCTTCTAGACCAAGGCTGGACTCCACCTCTCTCAGCCTCACAAGCACTGGGATTAAAGGTGTGTGCCACCACCACCCAGAATAAAATCTTATAAATGAATATGGATTCAGGGATATAAGATAAATCTCTGAAATACAGCTGACCAGAACACATGCACGTTAGATATACTTGCTGATACATGTCAAATCATTAAAAATTAGTTAGATATCTTATGTGTTTTGTATGTGTATGCTTGGTACCCAGGTGGTCAGAAGAGGGTATCAGATCCTCTGGAACAGTGAGCCTCCATGTGGTACCAGGAACTAAAACAGGTCCTCTGTAAGAGCAGCAGAGTGCTCTTAACAACTGAGCCATCTCTCTAGCCTTCCATACCAAATCTTTTTTTAATCAAGCACATTAAAGGAAAAGAAAAAAAGGAAAAAAGAAAGCAGGCAAGGTAGTTCACACTTGAAATAACAGCATTCATGAGGCTGAGGCAGAAGGACTGCCACAAATTCCAGGTCACCATAGACTATAGTGTGAGAAACTATCTCAAAAAAGCAAACAAAAGAAACTTGTAGCCTTTTCTCTAAGGGTGAAGATCACCAGAAAATGGATTAGGAAACTATTTACTTACTTTTCTTCCAAACAGTCTAAACACAGAACCCAATAAAAAAAAAAAAATCACATAAATTCTTCAGTAATATTCCAAACCTTTGAGTTCACCAGATCTCACATACAATTTTGTAGCTCTCCTACCCCACTCTACAAACTCAAATTCAAGTGTTGAAAATAACTGCACGGGGAATAATACTAACAAAGGTCTCTATGACTAAGGAAAGACAACAACTCCTAGACAGCAGCAGAGAGATCCTGAGAGGGAAGCAGACTAAAAACATCCAAATGCACATACAAGCTAATCCCTCCAAACTACGACAAGAGTTCTTTCAGTAACATGTCTCATAAATTCCTTCCAAAATATTATGACACATAACTTAAGCTGCATCCAGTATTGCCCTCAATCAATCCCCTCAATAATCCTCCAAACTCACCAAACTGTTAACTCATTAAAAGAACCAGTTAACTTACCCCCCCAAAAATCCATAGCTCAAAACCTACAAATTTTAAATAGTCAAATAATACTAATTTATTGAATAAAACTATCCTTCCTTGGTTTGTTCCCAAAATTTACATTCTAATATAATGCATTCAATTAGATTTACAACAGTATTGCCAAGTTAAGAATCTTAGTCTGGTTGCAATCCACAAAAACCTTTGATTTGCAGTTTGCAATGATTTCTATAAAGTTTAGGCTGTAACTCCATTTCAATACAGGATGAATTAAGGGTCTAACTACTTGACAAAAAAAACCAGTAAGATATTATTATACCTTCACCCCTCCTCTGGTACATGGAAAAGCGATTTAAATAATTATTTTCAAAAGAAGGGAGTTGAAAATACTAACCAATCTCTGGCTGTACCGAATCCTTTCTTCTTCAGGTTCCATCTCTTACTCTTCTGATGAAAGTACTGTAAAGAAACCACTCTGGGGCTGCCTTCCTCTTCCTCCTTAGGAACCAAATTGCAAAGGAAATGAACAGATATAAGAACTCATTCTCAAACTTAAAGATTCCTCATTAAGTTGAAAGTTAAGAATCCTTTCATGAATTTGGAGCCTTTACCAAATGGTGCCACGTCTTGTCAACATTAATCACATCACAACTATAGAACCCGGTCACTCCATGGGGTTGCAGTTAGCAAAACTTCCCAGCAACATTAGCAATAAATAGGTTAGACATATTAGATTAGATAGATAGATAGACAGACAGACAGACAGAGGAAAAGCCTCAGGACTTACTCTCCTCCCCCCCCCCCCCCCCAGTTTTTTTGACACTGGGTCTCTCTACGTGGCCTGGCTGTCTTAGAACTATGTAAACCAGACTTGCCTCAAACTCAAACGAGATCCGACTGCCTCTGCTTCCCGACTGCTGGGATCAAAGGCGCATGCCACCAAACCCAGCAAGGATTTTTATTTCTAAAGCCTGAATGACCAGTTGGAAGTATGCGCAAAACTAATCCAGATGCTAAACAAATGAGTTCTCAAACAAGTAATGGAAAACTATCAGCAAAAAGGGCAGATTACTTTCATAAAAAGAGGGCAAGAAAAAATATATTTTGCAGAAAGACTCCAAACCAATGCCCATATCCTTTTAGTAAGACTGAGCACAGTTGTCGCCTTCCCAGAACTACCCTCCACAAGGTGTACAACTCGGAAACAAATTTGAGAGTTGCAATACGGAGGCAAAAACACCATCTGATCCAGATGGGTAAATAATAAATGAAACGACTATTAAATAAAGGCAGGCAGGCTCGTCAATCAATTCATAACACCAAGAAAGGGATTTGATTTTTCTAGATATTCTTTTTGCTGGATAATGGCTTCCATTGGAATGCAAATGTTTTTCTCTCTTGTAAATATATTACGGCCACGTTAACGGAATCCTTTCAGGGGACCCGATGACATAGTTTGAGAGAGCAGTCCGTGGCACTGCCCTCCTCTGCCTCGGTCGTGAGGGCCATAGCCTGACCCTGCCAGGGCTGGACAGGAAAGCGGCAAACCTCGACTGCTCCCCCAGGGAAAAGGCGTTTCTACGGTTCACCCCTCGCAACGAAATACAAACTTTACATCAAGTCTTTAGATCAGACAGGGAACCAAACTTCCCAGGGTGGGGGAAGGGGGGGAGGGGAAATCTCACCGGGGATTTTGTTCTTGAGTTCTTGTCCAAGAGAGAAGATTCCAAAAACAGAAAAAAAATAAATCCCTAACGTCGTCTTCGGTTTTTCTGTGTATTAACCCAGTATCCAGACACGGGTCACAGCGACCCGGAAAAGAGGAAACAGTTACTGAATCAAGCCTCCTCTTCAGGCTTTACAGACTCGGAGTCCGAGGTGTTAGGAGAGGAGAGCAAGACACTCGGTGACTCCCCCGGGCCGGCAGTCAGCAGCCCCAGCCCGAGACCCGGGCACCCGGTCGCGAGGAGCACCCTCCTCT